CCGGTAACGCACTTGCAACGCCTCTGATGTTCTGCTTCATCAGGGGATCCGCCTGCTCATTTACCTGATAATCCCATAAAAAAGAAATAGCGTGTCACCGTTTCATAATCGTGTTCCCTTCTAAAACGCTTACAAAGGACGTAGCTTTGTTTTTAAAAATACTATTAATTGAAATCGAATGATTCCTTATATTAGAATATGGGACAGAAATATTTGCTCACACCAGGTAGCTCTGGCTTTTAAAATCCTGTCAGTCTAGTTAGTATCGCTTTTTAACTATTTACACAGTCACTGTTTAAAGGTCAGTTCAAGTCAGGCATACGAGTACCTATAACTAACCTTTATAATTTGATCAAACTTAAACACCAGTCGGAACGTTACAATCAAACATTTCCTATTTCTGTGGCTACTTTTAGTAATCTAAGAACATTACCAAAACAATTGCTTGAAACTCCAGTCTTGTATTTAGCTATACCTCTAGAATTTGAACTCTAAGGAGTCACTGTTACGATTACACTTCAAGATGGACAAGATCTGTTTAACATGATCTCGCTTTGTAGGATCATTACTCATATTCAAAGGTCAGTTTATACTGGAATGCGTAAGTTGATGTGAACCAGTATGTACATTTTATGTAACAATCATAACAACAATAGTTCGTTGCTAAATATAGAAATGCTTGAGTTTGTAGTAACAATGAAATAGTTCTCTTGTACCTCTATAGTACAATTTGCACAGTTCAAGTAGAATTTCTGTGTTTTGTGTCATATTGCTCAGTTCGGTCCGTTCTAGTCGAGAGTTATTTTTTCGTTGAATGCCCCACTTCTTTAGACATATTGAGGGATGAGACTAGACGTGCTAAAAAGAGTGAAAGTATTTTGATTGATATTTGTGTAAAGTCTTTTGTTATCTAATTGTGTCGTTAAAATTCGTGTAACCGTTGAAAGTTTTGTCTTACTCGCCTATGCAGTGCGGTACTGATAAACATTTGATGGAAACAAAACAGTTACATTTGATCAGCTACTAAATAACAGTCGATACAGAAAATTATTTGTCTTGCAATTTAACAAGCAACTACAGACTTCGCTACAACTACGACTTAAACTATCAAACACCGAGCGGTCACCGGTGACCGCAACCTGTTGTTCTTTAACTCGTAGAGTACCGGTTTTGCAGACCATTTTTGGACAATAGGTTGCGGTCACCGGTGACCGCTTGGTGTTTGACAGTTTAATTGTGTCTATAATGACGGTACTCAACGAGTTAAACAATATCCAGCAGTCGCTATTCGTATACAAACTTAACTATGCTAATCTGTAGACACATCAAAACTTTAACAAGAGGGCAACGACATGCCACAACAGTCGTAAATTCATAATCATAGTTATCATAGCAAGTAGCCTGAATCATATCATACAATGGATGTATGGATGGAACACATTCCATACAGGTACATACATACAAATGGCTAGCTATTGTATGCGTCGAACGTGATTTGACTAGAGATGACGTACCACGCGAGTTTCGACTGTAAAATATTGATGTTAAAGCTGAAATTGTTTAAGCAGTCAAAGGGCAAGCTATAACTTTGTGTGAATAGTGTCTATTTTAGTTTTCAATGACGAAGTTTATTGGTTAGTCAGGAAGGCAAGTGTTTGGGAGTTTGCTGGATGATGGAGAAGTATTGGGAAATGTTTTTAGTAACATAGTTTATTTGTTGGTAATGAGATTGCTATCTTTATTTAAAAGCAAGTTAAAATTGGTAGTAACTGTAGTTTGACCTTGTAATAACAAAGACAGTTATGACATAACATCCTCAAAGTACAATGCAGAAGTCAATATATAGTTTACATTATGGTTTATCAACATGAGAAATATTTGAGAATTTTCGACTAGGAGACCACCTGCGGTTCTTTGCAGTTGAAAGTTGCTTGGAATCTTGTACATATGTCACGAAATAGGGTCTTTAAATTATCGAAAACTAATTCGGAATGTGTAATATTGTTCACATAAGTTTTGTCAAAGCATCCACAAATCAAAATGCTAACCCTAATCTCAATCCCAAGTTTCATTCCACAAAAAGTCACACAATTTACTACTCCCAGTAGTAAAAGTAAAAAAGAGTAATTGTCTAGACTACACGTGGTGTACGACGCGAAGGTTGTCGTACCTGAACTCGTTGAAGGACAGACGGTAATTAGGTCAGTCTAGGCCGTTCACTCCGAGCTTTCAATACCATTCATTCATATTGAATTTTTTCACGTAAATACCGATCGAAGTTTATTTAAAGGTTAAGGTGTAATGTTCAGGTTTTTGTGAAGATGAATTGTATTCGATGTGATCTTAGGACGCATTAGAAGTTTTGATAATTAACGAAAAGTCATTTGTTAAGGTCGTTGAGGTGCTAATAGATATTTAAATGTTCAACTAAAGTGTCTAGTGTGTTGATACAATGTAATAAGGCCTTATGCAGATAGTATCAAATGCGAATCTTAGAAGAAAAATAAGTGTAATGCTACAATGCAGTTAGAAACAGTCTCAGACAGAGAAAAACCGTGGAAAAACCCTTTCAATTTCGCATTACTATATTAATCAATCTGTTCTGATAACATCTTTAAAAGATATCTTATTTATTTTCCCTCTATCATAGTTCCCTATGTAACATCGACTGGTGAAATACGTCTGTTATCGAATGCGACTGTTTACATCGTGATCTGTGGCGAAACAATTAGTTTCCCTAAATCAGGTGAAGGAAAACATCTTGAGTATATTATTCAGCTACCTACATACTGAATTCCAATAGAGGTCATGTTACTACAATGAGAATTAGTAGTTAGGAATTTTGATGGTTTTCTGACGATTCTGGTAATCAGTATATGTGGTGCCCTTCAATGTCCCAAAACCTGAATAAATGGTTATAATGAGTAGTTTTTTGACGAAGTGCTACATCGGGCGGTAGTCAAAGTCAAAAGACAAAATCATTTATTTCAATTAGACCAGGAAGGCACTTTTGAACGTCACAACAATTTAAATAATAAATAATAAGAAAAAAAAGTCAGTCTGTAGGTCAGTCCTCTAGTGAAGCTATTTGCTCGTTCCAAAGTGTAGATTCCTAAGGAGAAGACGAGCAAGAAACTCCATAGGTTACTCTTTTTCAATTATGTTCACAATACAATGTAGTTATACATATATGGTTTTCAATGCAAACTGATTAGTTTGTATAGCCGAAGCCTAAACTTTTAAACCAAGATAATTGTTAACTAACCCCACTTGAAACAAACAAAACCTCAGCCTCAACTAGTCGTCCATTAATTCTGTGGTATCGATGTTATTGATCAAGTCCTAGTGCTCTTATTAAGTTCTAAACAAATGAACTAGGTTTGTGATAAGAGTTCGTTCACGTTCGTACCAGTGCGGGTGCTTGAACCCGTGACCTCACGATAGTCCGACGTCCTAGTGTTTAAGCTCGTTACTCACTGAGCTACAAGTCCAGTTGTACGTTGAAGTTTTTGTAAAGAGCGAAAGTAGTTCTTGTGGCTTTGTTTTTAAGCGTTAAACTGATGTGTGGTTTATGATTCCATTGAAGATTCTGGCAGGACATCTTAAAGACTCAATCTATGTTGTTTGAATTGGATTGAATATTGAAAAAAAAAATCTCTTTGCCTAACTCCTTGTTCAGGTAACAAAATCTTTTGCAGGCTTCTCACTAAACTACCTCGCACTAAAACTTCGTGCATTTATCAAAAATATTAAACCTGAGTTAGCCTGAGTCAGTACTTTAGAATACACCTAGTGTAGACTAGCCCATTATTTGCAGAGGCAACTTGCATAATGTGTAACAACATAGCCTGGTTAGCTAACTGTTGTGTTATCTCCAGTAACTAGTTACTGCAAGGAAGCGTATAATGCTAAAACTACTGCGGTGAGATCAGCCATTGTTTTCCTACAATATTATGGGAAAATGCTTCTATTTAAAGCAACTACGCTTGCAGGTGTTTTGTGCTTCGAGCGTTTACTTTAAACTTGGAATGTGATGTTCAAAGGTTCCAGCAGCTGTAGCCAAATGTCATTTAGCGCTTGTCTACATGTAGAATAGAAAACCAAATTATATGGAATTAACGTAAATTTTGACACTTGTCAGTGTCATCCCCATACATTTAGTTTTCTACTCTCTCGGTAGACAAGCGCTAAAGTGGCTTTTAGCTAAAGGCACAGTTTTTTTTAAGTAAAGTGATCGAAACATTACCGCGTTCAACCCATTGATTGGTTGACTAATTATAACTGACCAATCAGAACGTCAAACGTCATAAACGTGCGATAGCGTTAACATAAAACAATTTATTTATATTGTCCAAACCAGCACGAGGCCCTCTGTATGGTAATTTATACGATTTTGAATATTACAAAGTTGAAATTGTTATTGTGTAGGTTTTCACATTTTTTTCGCTTTCGTTTATTGTCAGGATTATCTTACCCTTAAAAGTTTTCGTCGTCAAGCTATTTTTAAACGTTAAGTCCTTACTTCAGCCGTCAGCCTTAAGTTTTTTGCCTGACCGTTTCCAAGTAAAAGGTATACAAAAATAGCGTGGGAGGTGGAAAAAAGACCAACTATGATCTTTTGGCTTATCTTATTGTAGTTTTTATAGATTTCATAGAAATATTTAATGCTGTATTTTTCTGTACGTCTATACAAATTTTAAGGAAAGTGGTTGAATATAAACAGCTGTTGTTGATTCAGAGAATTTCTCAACGATGCGGTGTTCAGCAGGACGTGAATCACTTTAAGGTACAAATGTCAGTATTTCTTACGAAAGTTTTATACCGACTGTCATATATACCTATTTGGGAATCCCACCTTCACCTGCTTTGCTTACTATAATAATTTCCCACACATTTTTATGGCTATAAAGAATATTGTCTGGAATTTCCCCAGTACAGGTGCCCAATACTTTTTAATTCTAACAGGACCAATTATACCACATTCTCAAATTAATCTGCAATATAATTAAGTTTATCACAATAGTTTCCATTGCATCAAATGATATTAAACACGATTATGCACTTTATACCACATGACTTACAATTGTTAATACAACAAAATAAATATCTTTTCCTCACTCACGAATTTCTTCAAGATTCGTGTTCATACCACCGGAAACAATCAACTACGAAATTTTATGTTTACTATAAAATTCTTATAACTCATAGAAAAACTAACTAAAACATTTATTCATAGCAGTATGATTTCAGACCACACGTAGTAAATTTTACTTTGAATATCTAAAGGCCATACTTGAAGATTGACCCTAATGTTCTGTACGATAGCGTTGAGAACTCTGTGTACATCGAAGCTCTTCCCTTCGATCCAATCTCTTAACATTTCTGTTATGTTTTCTAACTGTTCTATATTATGATCGTTTACGTCATACACGCCGTCAATGAGACTGAACAACTCTCGCAGAAGCGCCACGCTCGGCTTCAAACCATTCGGAGCCAACTTCAACACTGTGTCAGGATTTGTCAAAACTTCGTCCAAGAAGTCCAAAGTATCTCTCTTCACAATCGCTTCAGCATTAATTATGTACTTTATAGTTTGTCGGAACTTCATATTGGACTTTATGAAATACTTGTGACTCTCCAATACGTCTGTGATTGGTACAAAAAAACGCTTCAGATCTCGAGGCGACACATTCATCAAAGTCCGCAACCAATCTGTCAAGTAATCACTGTAGTAGTATCTGTCTCGGCACACCTGCAGAGTCTCACACATATTGTTTTCAATATAATTAAACGAAATTTTCGTCTGTTGTCGAAGAATTTTCTCTTTCAAAGTTTGCCTGTACCATTTCGTCTGGGTCATAAATTTCCCCTTGACATTTTTTATGTGATACCTTAATACCCTTTCCAGTATGTAATTCGAAACATCCATAAAATCTATCATAAAATGGTCGGTAATGTTTATTGGTTTTCCGTCTAACATAGTTTTCAGTTTTGTGTTAATGATATCTGTGTATTTGTCTTCGATATTATTAAACGCTCTTTTAATGTCTGCGACATCCGCGCGATGTAGATCGTAGTTACTCATAATGTTGCTTTTCACATTCCTCAATTGTTCTGTGGACACTTCTGTTAGTACACTAACGAATGTATCAAATAGTAAGGAGTCGTTTTTTGCAGGAATGTCATACGTGTCTGTGTAGTTCTCAAAGTTTACCAGATCCTGTACATCTGTAGGTACTTCCGAAGGTACAATGTGATAGTATAATGAGTCTTTGTCCCCTCTGGCTGCGCCACAAAGCGTATCTGTATTGGAAATTAAAATAAAATACGGTGAGAGAAAAAGAAATACTGAAGACAGGACAATAGGAAGTAATCACAAAAACCAGGGCCAGATTAAACGAGAAATCAATACCATTAACAGTTTTATTATGTTATTAACGTTAATTAGTATTTTTTTATTATTGTCTCCGACCCTAGATCAAAGCCAGATAAGTTTATAAATAGTTGCAGACTGTGATATACAACATTTCGCGCGACATCATCGATCGCCTCTGCGCTGACTTGCAATTTTAATGGCACCCCAACCCTAACGATCGGGAGAGCAACGACTCATGTTACACGATATTCATAAAATACATTTTATATTTTCCAACCAACAGTCTCTCTTTAAAACATACTTTAAGTATTTTTCTTCTGCAATGAATACAGTTGCAGAAAACTCAGTACAAATGTCCTTTGACGTTGTTTGATTAGAAAATAACTAGAAATAACGTTGAGATTTTATAAGATCCTGGTTTGTTATTTATGGAGCAGTTGGAAAAATTATTCAAGCATTTTCTAACACTATTAAGTATTGAAACGTTAAGTAGGGTCTTGTAGCGTATTGTATGATTCTAAATATAAATTGTAGAAATGGCTGTAACTTTCTGTTCACACAAACATCACAATGTAGTCACTTAACAAAATAATAGGAGGAAAACTCACATAGTACAAGAGAGAGCGACGCGAGCATTTTCCTCAAAATATAAATTATAACTAATCGAAAAAACATTGCAGTTCGTTTTATGTGTGCTGTAAAACAGTTTATTATTGTTGACGTATGAACGAACACTGTTTTGGATACAGAAAAAAAAAAGTATGACGAAGTTAGAAATTCGCAAAAATTTACAAGCACCTTTATAGATTAGAATCTTGAAAGTGATGAAAAGGTAACGAAGTAGGTTCTTTTTAGAACGTGACAGGTTGCTTCTTATATATCTGATGCATACCCTTATGAGACAAAATGTATGTATTTATATACTTATGTAAAGCAGTAAATCAAACTCGTTAAAGAGATATGCGCTTCATTAAACATGCTGATTTTCCAAATGCCCAAATCACACAGACATTTCCACCAGGATGTGAAAAGCCAATCAATTACCAGATGAACAGTATTCAATTTCCCTTCAAATTGTTACTGTTGTTTGTATATTACTGCAGTGGAATACTTAATTATATGCAATTATTTACAGGACACCATATTAATTATGAAAATAATTACATTTGTATTGTTTGTAGGCATGATCATTGAATGTTGATTTAAGTTTTCATGAAATACGTAATGAATTCGTGATGGGATGTGCGTGGTGCACAAAGGCTTGATTATCATTTTAATCAACAGCTTGCGGGCTCTGTACAATATGAGTCCCATTGATTATCCACTTTATAACAAAATGATAAGATTTAAAACACATTAAAGTATGGTTACGATGAATATTGGTATTATTGGGCTTCATAAAATAATTATTTCATTACATTGTTATTCCCAAAAACGATATAAATATACCTATAATGACTTCTTCAGTAATCTCATTGTAATAGTGGAGGCTATTTACAAAAAAACAGGTTTTATTCCAGGCTCCAGGTTACTGGAGGTTGGTACCACAACATCAAACCACCACAGATGGGGCCTAGTAGGGCTGATACCCGATACGGAGCTGTGGAAGACTTATCACGTTGCTAGGGCTCCGGCTCAAGCTCAAAGAACCGGAGTCTGACACTCCTTCTCGCCTCTAGGCGGGAGAAGCCATTGAATGATTATCCCCCTCAAAAATAAAATTTCGGGTTATTACTAAAAATTTCGGAACCACATTTTTCTCCATCCAGGTCAGATTAAATTCAGGCCATCGCAATCTTCAGTTGTTGAGGATTATAAAAAATAACTTATAACTATTACTTACCGTTCTCGCAATTGTTCATAGTTACCATTATTTCCAAATGTTTTTTTATAAATACTTTATACAGATAGTAAGATCTTGATCCAATAAACAAAATTCCACATTACCTGAAACAAACAATGACCAAACATTAGGGACTTTCATAATGTAAATCATTTGCGTTTCCAATATTATCAAAATAAATTTTCAAAAATGTATATGGTAACCCTACATTGCAAGTATACCTCTCATAATAAACGTCTGTGATAAAAACAAAAACAAAAATAAATTTGACATAGGGATAAAATAAAACATCTGTATCGTATGCGTCGATTAACGCTATTGTAATACATAATTCCTTCTACTGCCAATTGACTTTAATAACTACATGTTTGTCGGCGATACTTCCCATATAAAGAAGAAATATCCACTTCTTAAAAAATCATTTTCGATACCTCTATCCACTCTTCAGAATTAGGTGACATCTGAAACAAAATAGAAATTTTATAATTACTTAATATTGGTTGCTTACCATCCAAATTGAAAACTATATCATTTTTACTAAGTCGGTTACTTAGCTTCAAATCTTAGTGCTTTAGTCATTACCGTATTATGTTAGTTAAGCCTTTTGAACATAATATACAAACTAGCAAACTCCGAGTTAGAAAATATTAAATACTACTTCTACTTCTTTAGTATAGGTCCTTACATGTTAACTAGCCGCCTGGCCACAGTCAACTACGGTAGTGCGAGCGACGCAAATTGCCGCAAGGCTAGCTGTGAGTAGGGAAACGTGCGCGTCACACCAGTACCGGCAAAACTGCGGCCAGGCTTTCTACACCACTAATTTGGCAAACAATGATACTCTGATATAAATTTATACTCATGCACTACCTGCGTTAAAAATTTCAAAGATTTGAGTGTATTGATTGACGACAGACTAAACTAAAAATCTTACGATTAAAAAATCATAATCATATTACTTTTTAAATCATGACAACAATGCACATCTGTGCGTCATATCATTGGTTGTATTAATGTTTCGTACTTTGTCCGTCATCAACTTAATGCATCTAATTTTAAGAAGTAACGGTATAAATCTAACTACAAGCAAGCAAGCAAGCACAAAGTTGCACTACAAGTCATGCAGGGCGATAAAGAATATGGACTGCAGTGTACTCACCGTATATCTCATTGTACTCCAATTTACCCTCAGAACCCTAAAAGATTGTAATCCGAACTAAGTAATTACTTTTTTAATATTCAGAAACACCAACACTAAAATACGATTTAATAATTTCAGACCAATGCAACAGAAAATGAAGAACTTATAAACGAAAAAATACTGAGGATCTTTATGTAAAACTGATCATAAGAGAAAGTATCAGTCCAACTGAGGAGATACTGATATTTTTTGAAAACATATAGCCATCGAAAGATCACGTAGAGAAATCAAAAACTGCATAAAATTACATACCAAGTATTATAATCAAACCAAACAAAAGAAACTTGCAGACAAAGAAGTTTGGCAGCAAAAACCACGACCTCCATAAGGAGACGACTCTTTAGAGATCCTTGCAAAACTCACTATACATGCGCCTTTTATCATCTAAGTATTGGTGCAGAAAATATCAACCGTGCAAATTGGTTGCAAGCATAACTTCTAGCTACTAAATTCTAGCACTACGGATCGAAATTTTATCTGTAGTCACTAATAGTAAATTGTTAGTAAAAATTGGTTAGGTTTCAGTCATAAATTTATGAATAGGTACTTGATTTGATTTGTACTTACTGTGTTTTGTTTTCCCCCGAAGAATACTTTATCAAGTGGTGGCATTTTGAACACTTCTACAAAATTGCTATCGGTTGCTGAGTATAAATACCTTAAAGTTTCGCCATGCCAGTGCATTTGAAAGCCTACGTGTGTTCCGTACATCACTGTGCATCCGGGGCGTGTGAAAAGGCATTAATCGTCTTGTTTAGTATATAGAGTTTGTCCAAATAGTTGCATTGTTTGGTTTAAGAACTCAAATTCTAAGCTGTTTATTCTTAGCAAAATCAACTCAAGCAGCCATCAGCGCTAATCTTCCCATTATTACACTCTATTTATCCGTTCGTCACTCAAACCAAAATTAAAGCCAGGTTTACAGACACTTAGACCAGTGGCTCCTTTCTCGACCATACGATCATGAGGTATCCGAAAGTTGAAAAGATGTTTTCAAAATAAGATACGTTATCAATAGTAGAAATCATTCAAGAAATCCCAATATCCGACGTCGATTTCCTTTGAAACAGTTTCCATAGAATATTCACAAACAGGTCAATAGGAAATAATGTTCAGTTTGTACGTCAACGGACACGAGGCCGTCACGGGACGGATACGGGACGGTTCCGGAGCTTCTGTCTATTTCCTATCCAATGGGTTGGTAATGACAGGGTGCATTTATGTGTCTAGGAACCTTCATCGTTTAAAATAATGTTTCATATTTTAAATTGGACATTTTATTAAATAGTGTTATGGTGGATATTGTGCTATTTGAAGTGTGAAAATTTTATATATATGTATATATATACCTCTATATGGAATAGGATGCAAACGAGCAGACGGTTCACCCGATGGCAAGCGATCAGCGCCGCCCATGTACAATTATTTTGATACAGACAAGAATGTAATGTCCAAAATATTATATTTATTGAATTTATATCATTTAATCAGCGTGTCAAAGATATTCTTGTAATTCTATAGAGATGCTGATACATTTTTTAACAATTTCAAAATTGGTTACTTATTATTTACAGGAAAAAATAATCTTTGCCGTGTATGTATCAGCTGCTACCTAATTACCAAAACGTTTAAGCGAAAAGAAAGAGAAAATAGGAACGGTAACCCAACCAAAACCAACAAGAGAATATTTCCATTTCATTACCAAACAGGCAAAACACACACACTTAGTCCAATTCGCCTGGACAACTTCCGAACAACAATTCCGAGCATATCCGAGTATTTCCGAATGTCACCGAGTATAGCCGACCAGTGCACACGATCGCACAAAGCCCGGAGATTACCAATGACCATTGCATTGTTAATCGCGCTGAACACGAGACTGACAAGATTAGAAGATGGACATGTTGATGAATTATCCACTGTAACGGTACAACAGGTACTTTAGGCCATCATTTATTCATCGTTTGAACGTTGCCGTTGTCTAGGATAGGTTTTACTGAATAAGTAGCGAGTTTTTTGATGATTTGTGAGGCTATGATAATATTTTGATAATCCAGCAACTGCCACGGATGACTACGGACGATTTTCTTTAAAATCCTATTTGATGATCTGACAAGTCTTGACTTAGAATGAAATGGAAGGCATTGAATGTAAATTCCAGTTTGTACAATTTGTACCCTCCAAAACGAGAGGTAGATAAGAATTTAACAGCTATGAGAGTTCGTTTAGCAGTGGACGAACGTCTTACGACTGATATGATAGTGAGACGATGATGGGGAAGACGATATTATAAATCTGAAACTCCAATTAAACAAAGTAAATGCATCTGATATAACAGCATAAAAACTCCTCCAATGTTATCAATAGCATTGTTTAGCTATAAAATTACAAAGTTAAGTTCAACATAAATTGTTTTAAATTCAAAGGAATTCACAAGTGGTTTGTTTCTGCTTGAAATACCAAGTAGAAAGTCATTGAATAGAGTGACTTGTTGTGATAATAGGGCTCCGGGCAAAGTAAACTGACAATTGAGACTTTAACCGAAGTCCTTATTTGTAACTGGGTAGAAATAACGTTTTAGACATGGTTATGGGAAAA